TGACACTAATGAATTGTCCCAGTTGCTGTGGGCAGGTCTACAAAGAGCTAAGGCTCTTCCATCAGAAATTTGAGACACTCATGTCAGAAGAAGGTCAACCAACACAGCAATGGGGCAACTTCATTCTGAAGGAGGAAATGTGCCCTCCATCAGTTATTTCTAATGAATGAATCAGTTCCTGGAAATCTGTAAGTTCCTTCCACAAAAGACAATGAAAAAATCCTGACAGCAACAAGCTTACAATCAATATACGGGGAACTGCACCTCCAGTGGAAGGTGCTTATTTTTTCTTAATTTCTTGTCTTGCTAATAGGTACAAGACATTGAGGTGCTGGACCATGTCCAGAGCAGAGCAATGAAACTGGTGAAGGGTCTGGAGCACAAGTCTTATAAGGAGCGGCTGAGGGATCTGGGGCTGTTTAGCCTGGAGAAGAGGAGGCTGAGGGGAGATCGGAGGCCTTTTCACTCACTACAACTACCTGAAAGGAAATGGTGAGGTGAGGTGGGTGATGGTCTCTTCTCCCAAGTAACAAGTGATAGGACAAGGTGAAATGGCCTCAAGCTGCATCAGAGGAGGTTTAGATTGGATATTAGGAAAAATTTCTTCACCGCAGAGGTTATCAAGCATTGGACCAGGCTGCCCAGGGAAGCGGTTGAGCATCCTTGGAGGTAAATGTGGCACTTAGGGACATGGTTTAGTGGTGGACTTGGCAGTGTTAGGTTTATGGTTGGACTCAATGATCTTAAAGGTTTTTTCCAGCCTAAACGATTCTATACAAATAGCGTAGGTCATGTGCCTGCAAACTTTGGCATTAACAGAGCAAACTTTTAGAAAGCTTTCTTCTAGCCAATATTAAGATCTTCCTGCTCTGATAACAAGCAAGCCTGGGAAGAATTTCCTCAGCTGCCTAAAGTTTATGAGTCACTGAACAGTGACACTTATTCTCTCCAGGAGACTGCAGAGGTGTAAAACCAAGCTAATACCTGCATTATTGCGCTAGAGCTTCAAAACAGCAACAGCCATCTCTGTGTTCCCATAACAATTAATTGGAGCCTTTCCTTGAGCTCAGGCAATAAGCCTGCAGAAAGCTTCCAGCAGATGTTTCACTCCTCATACAGAATAATGGGAACCATTTCGCCTCTCAGAAACACACCGGGTAACCTTCCTGCTGTATAGCCTAGAAAAGTGCAACACTTCTGCAGATTTACTGGCATCTCTTATCACAGATGACACCCTTAATCTGTAGCATTTTTTAAAACCACCCAGTTACTATAGCAATAGAAGCAATAAAAATTATGCCCATCTGGCTCAATGATGTTTCTGTGTGTAATTAATCAGAATCACAACAGGCGTTTGCCACACAGACAGGAGTCAACGGAGACGGGTTGTCCTCCTCTGGTCGTCTTCAACTGTTAAGGCGATATAAACACATACACCCAAGATAGCTTAGTGAAAAATGAAGAAATGTGGTGTAGGCACCCAAGATTAATTCCCAGGGTCTCCACATCCTGGAGAGCTTGGGCTGAAGCCTGTTTCACCACATCTTCATTAGCATCATTTGCAAGGCCGAGGCTGGAGCTAGTTCAGGTAAAAATACACATTCTGCAACCAGTTATCCTGCATGCAATGCTAGACCAAGTCAGAGATAGGGCAACTGGGGGGACCTGTTGTGGGAAGGAGATGAGACCTTGCTTTAGTCCATGTGCTGGAGTTGCAGCATCCTGTAAAGCTTGTGGGACAGCCATGGTTGCCCAGGCTGGCAACTGCTGCAGCTTCACCAACACCAGCTACTATGTGGGACAGAGGCAGCTGGTCCTACTGGTTCAGAAAGTGAAAAACGGAGTTTTGGGGACCATATGTTTAAGGGAAGCATGGGATGCAGGGCTTTAGGAGGTGCTGTCCTTTGTAAGGGACAATGCTAATGCTTTGACAGGGGAAAAAAGGACGTGCGCTGTGAATGAATGTCACAGAAAAAAACAATGACAGCTGTCTGCTCGCAGAACAGAGGATTTGGGGCATTTCAGTGCAGGTTTCCAGTTCTATTCAGAAGCCAGAAAAAGAAATGCCTTATATGTCCTCTGAAAAATAAAAAAGAGGTCTGTTCAGGTTTTTGATTTTGAAAACGATTGAAGTGCCCTGCCTTACTTTCTGAAGTCTTCTCAGCTCTTGGTATCTTCAAAGATCCTAGAATTACTGATATCCCTCTATATTACCAGGCACATATTCTCTGCCGTGGTACAGTGAAGGTGCCACACAGCAGGCTTTCAGTAAAGAACACCATGGGTTTTGCAGTAACGCGTAACGCATGTGTGGGTTGGGGTTAGGAAAAGCAAATTGATAGTTAAGGTGCCACAAAAGTCTTCACAGAATCACAGGATCCTCTGGATTAAAGGATAATTCAGGTTGCGAGGCAACTCGGGAGGTCTCTAGTCCCATCCCCTGCTCAGAGCAGGGTCAGCTCTGAGGTCAGACAGCACTGCTCAGGGCTTTATCTTGTCTGGGCTTGAAAACCTGCAAGGACAGAGACTGCAAAACCTGTCTGGGCATCCTGCTCCACCGTTCTCAGGAAAAACCTTACATCTAGTCTGAGCTGCTTCTTTTGTTTCAGTTTATGTCCACTGTTTTTCATCCTTCCATGACGCATGGCCGTGAAGAGCCAGCTCCATTCCCTCAATAACTTCCTCAGGTGAGTGTAAGGCTGCTGTTGTGTCTCCCCCAAAGCCTGCTCTTCTCAGGCTGAACAAGCACGGTTCCCTCCCCACAGCAGACCATGTGGTTCCAGCCCTTGGTC